TGCAAGATATTGTCCAGTTCACTTGCACTAACAAAGTGAAAGAACTGTCAAACGACGCTATAGCAGCATAAGATCGAGTCAGGGAACTACCCTTATGCCCGCTACGATTAAGATTAAGCATATTATAAAATTGTCTCTTAGTTAATAGATCCCGCGAACAATCTATTTTACTCACTCCAGTTTCCATATCTTAAACTAAATTGACTAAAAATGGTAAATAATAGCATAATAACCTGGTGTATTGTGGTTAATCTTTTCGATTAAACCCAGTTAATAATAAGTATCTAATAATATAAAGCATAACAAAGATAAATGGATAATATTTAGGTAGGTTGAACTGTACACGATATCAAGGCCATAAACTAGTCAATCTTTGTGGTCCGTGGGTTCCTGGATGCAGAGGTAATATGACGCTTGCGAAATACGCATTTTGGAATCGATGCTAAGGGCAATGGAATCGGCTTTTGCTCTGTGGCATCCTCATCGAGTTTGATCTCCCGGTTTGTTTGAACTGGAACTTCTGCCTTAGCATCTTGAATTCTATGTTCCTTCAACCACTTGGATCCAGCCAAAGATCCAGGGGGAACAGTTTTTTCACCAGTGAATAAGTCTACTTCTGGAAAATGCGAAGCCTCATTGGACAACAGATAACCGTAAATCGAAGCCTCGCTAAGCGCTTGTAGACGGCCAATAACAGTCGCAGCATGGTGTTCTGAAGGTCGAGGGGAAGATTCCTCAGGCGGTGGGGAAGGAGGAAGCTGGCAAACAGGAATTCCCAATTCTTTTGCTCGCTTAACACGAAGTTTGGCATGACGAGCAGCTTCACGCTGCCAGGGCAAGTCAAGCTTTGGTAAGGAGGCAGGGGGTCTGTAGAAGTAAATTAAAAACAATCTTTAAGTGAACGTAAGACTATAAGCTTAAAGTATGACCCTATGGAGCATAATGCTTCACCATTACAAGGAATCGTGCCATAATTTGTTCATTAGCTAAATAAAATTGTAAATGCATGACGCTGTGGCAAGTTATTTAAAATGAACAGCACCAGACCATGAAAAATGGGATCACCCTTACTCTGGTATGACTGACTTCCATTCGCCAAGTAGTCCAATTTTGCTAATCTTTTTGAAGGGTTGCTCAAAATCTTCCATGAAGCACAAATGCGGGCCAGATGACTCTTCAACCTCAACGTGCTGATTATTCAAAACTACAGGATCGGTAGAATCACTATCCTCTGGGATAGGAGCATTAAATGCTTTATGGACTGCTTCGCTGGCAGCTGTACTTCCAGATTCACTAAGTTCCACGAGCTTGTTAAATACAAATTGATCCAGACGAGATTTTTCTGATATTCTGCTGCAATCTGACTTCACCGGTGCGTCAGGTTTGTGCCATTGGGTTACATTTTTGACCATATTCCAGTAATATACTTCACCGTCTTCAGTTTTCACTTCCTGCCATTCAAGTTTAGGTAGTGGTTGAGTTGGAGGAGCAACTTTGGGTTTGCTTTTGGAGGGCTTAGCCTGCTTTTTCTTCTTCTCATTCACACTTGATGCCGATTCCAATTTTCTTTCATCAGTGAGTCTTTCTGATATTTGCTTCTGTAAATCAGCTGTTAAATAAGGAGTGAAAGATGATCAAGTGCATAAATTTATGAAAAAATAAACGTAAGTTAAAAAATGACCGACCTGTAACATTTATCCCGTAACGCTTGGCGACACTCGGGTCCTGCGCAATATCCTTTAGCATTCCCATGAATGCTAGCTTAAAGCAAATTATTGTAGATCGACTTACATCATTTATTGTTTGAAGACTTTGGTCAAGCTTTTGCTTTGCTTTGTCTTCATCTTTAGCCTTCTTCCTTAAATCTGAAAGCCTTTTCTGTACATTGGCTTTATGGCGCATACCATTTTCATGATTTTCTATGCTCTAAAATTTAACAACAAATTTAAATACTGGTTTGTTGTCTGCGAACCAGCATTGGCACACTTCGCAAAACTTTTTGGGATTGCTTTTCCAATAATCAGCCATAGAAAAGCTTTCAAGTAAGGCGGGGCGGAGGTGGGAAATAAAGTTACAAATTTATGTACAAACAAAATTACAAAAAAAGATTT